TCGCTCTAATGGTCATATATTTCCGATGGTAAAAATGTGTTTAGCAAACATATTATTCATTAAAATATTGATGTAAACAAATGTGATGTTTTTAATATTTGTAAAAATTCTTTCTAAAAATTAGATGAGTTATACTTTGTTATCAAAGTACAAACATTGTGAATATTATTAAATTATTCGCAAAATGGACACACGGATAATATAACCGGAATAATAGAAAACAGGCATTGAAAACATGCGTCAAGACAATAATTACACGAGAAGGTTAGTTTTTCATTAAAAAAGTTAGAACAAATTATTGCTGTTATTTTTTTAGATAAGTATAATATAATACATATATATTTGTGTTTTACTTAAATCGTTGAACCACATTCATAGTATTTTTGCACCGGTATATTTCTAATACTGACTACTAGTAATTTAATTTTAATCAAAATCTACAAACAATTTTAACGGTACAACTTGATCTGAAAATATGAGCTGTACACCTTAGACTTAGACATTATTGCTAGATAAATTATGATGTTGTTAATGGAGTTGTCTGTGCCTTTCCCCAAACGGTTTGGGCGTACAATACGTAATAGGATCTGTTATTTATTATTTGAATATAGGCCTAATAACGCCGCCATTAAGACTTAAGATCCACACTGGTATTGGGAGCACGTACTGACCATAAGACAATGACGGAAGCGACCAGCAAGAATTCAGTTTAGCTATCATCGACCATAATAATATTTATTGCTATCAAAACACCTACCGTTTGTCCGGACCATTACTTTTACTTTCTTATACTATACTATGTTATTTACCCGCTGGAAATTATATGATTCATAATTCCCGTTAGTTTATAAAATACAAATCACTTCATTTAACCGATTGACTGCATTAATATGTGTCAACACTTTGGCGGTACTATTGTCCGTGTCTAGCATGATTAATTTTAACGACTGTATGATTTTTTACAGTCAGAAGTCATCCTTAATTTTTTTTCCTTTAATAAAATATTATGCTCATATTTATTCAACATAAGAAACACGAGGAGTACCTACCGGCATACACCTCCACAAAAATGGCTGGCCAATCTGTACATCAGTTCTATATAATAGTCTTCTTTCTGCGCACTTATGTGCCTAATATGTATATTATGCGTTCAATTGTTTTCGTTTAAATATATTGTCATAGCTTAACTTTTTCCGCATTTTATAAATAGAATTGTCCAGTTTTCTTGTGAACTTTGTTAAATATCAACAAAAAAAAAAAACGACGGAACTCCTAATGTCGTACACCATAACTAGAATATCTTGGACATTGTACTTACTATAAGGATTCTTTCCCGGTCAATATTGTTATGAGTTGTTTGTGTGTGTATAAAAGAAAAACTACTTCATATATCCGAACTTGTGAAAACAATAACAATTTTATTAGGTAAACTTTTGTCGTGGGCGTTAAATAAACTATACAATATTATGTTATCTCAAGACTTGGGGGTCTGAATGTGCTCGTTTCAAAGAAATCTTAAAATACTTGAGTTTGATAATACCCGTAGAATATTTTTCGCACTTATATATGTATTGAACAATATCAAGTGACGTTATATTGAAAACGTTTAATAGAGTACTTTGACAAATTATTGGAAATATTTTCAAAATTATTAAATGAAGATGATATTATACATTTTTGTTTTTTTTTTTATAAATTGCCCGAGTTGTTTGTTGCTACTATTTTTAAGACTTTCAAAATGTACCCAACACCAATTAGTATGTTTGTATTGCCTGGACCCTGTCTGTAAAAACCTGAAATGATGCCGTTGGCCACTGTTAAAGGGAGTAATCGGTGGTTTACTATAATTACTTCATCTTGTACAAAATTCCACTTCCAATACTCACGAAAATTAAAAACAGAAAACGAAGTCTTGCATTTAAGGCCTGCCTACATTGGTGATTAAAAACAAATAAGTAATTAACAATAATTAGTAACGTGAGTATATTTTGAGGTATTTAAAAGTCTCTAGTTCGGTCCACGATAGAAAGTATACGAATTCGGTTGAAAATTATAATTGCCAACCGGAATTTTTGAATATTTCAAAATTAGAAAGTAGCGCGTGTTCCGTTTTTTTTTTTGAACTTATGAGTAAAAATATTACATACTAGACAATTAAAAAAATGTAGACATTCTTTTGGACGCATATCCAAAAAGTGATAATCAAGTAGCGAAAAAATATAATAATTGAAAAATAATCAACTAATAAAAAATGATAATAAAACATGATTTCACACAAATAATATAACACGGCTGCGCTGGATTTATCACCGCCTCCTCGGACCTCCGGTATAGGCTTTGTTTGCAAATAATAATTATGGGCTATTGAGTTTTATTGCTCGATCAAGACCACTTTGGATAATGATTCGAACGATTTATAAATAAAGACGTTTTCACAACCGTGTAGTGTAATAATAATACCTAATACTATATTACCGACCTCGGGCAAGTCAAACAGTGTAATTGGCCGACACAGTTACTCGGACCGACCGCTGTCTCGCCCCTGGTAGTTATTGCAAATGGTAATTATTCGGTTTTAGAGGTTTGTCTATCCGCAGATTTAAAAGTTTAGAAAATATAAATTAATTGTGTTGCGCTAAAAAACGCTCATAGTAAATATTGTATAGGAATATTCTACAAAAGGGCAAGCGAATGGTACATAAAATTAGGCCTTGTTTGTTGACAAGTATTGAGTGTGATTTTTAGGCATTTGGACTGACTCATAACACAGTTGAAAAAATATTGGCCCAATATTATTTTTTCTATTATATTCTATTTGTGTTACTATACATATAATTTGTATATATTACGTATTCATGTTTGTAGTTATAACTTTTTTTAAACCTCCTTAGTTCACTTACTATACACACCTGCGTGCCTTATTATCTATACAACATAATATCCTCTAACTTTTTTCATAAATCTACCTTTAGCCTTTACATTTTAATCCCTCGACTAGAATATTTCTCTCAGTTGTACTGTACTCTTATTACACACATTGTCATATTACATGCTCAGATCATATTTTGTTTTTCCCTATCCCCATTGGTCCGACTTCCAAACTACCTCGTGCGATACTCACGCTTAATTCTTTAAAACATCACTCACCACAAAATACAAATAAGTCTCAATGCAGGTACGCATTTTAGTTTTTAAATAATATATTTTGTACGTGTAATTTGGATTGGAGAATAGTCGAAAGTGCTTAAAAAAAATTGTTATCCAACCGTTGCTGTACATGGGTCCGAAGATAACACTAACTATTGAAAAATTATATACTTTTAAAAGGTTTCCGCACTAAATAAAAAAAAAAACGTATATTTGTGTATTTAATTCAGTACACATCAAGTAAAATTCGAAACGCATATAAATGTTCAAATATTCTTATTAATAGGTATTTCTGTAACGCCAAACGATTTCAAAATAAATACCTAACACTACTTATACATCTAGTGTAATCTCTCAGCAGTACTGTACAAAGGGAAACGTTTCAGTACAAGTATTAAGTAGAGTACCAGGCTAGGCTCAAATAATGGACAGGACAGTAGTTTGACGATCAGTCGCTATGTATGGATAGATAAATAGACCAAGGGGACGGGCCGGCCGTGAAGAAGACGGATTGACAGCGTTTGTAAAACGTCAGGTGTACTTAGATTGAGTTTAAGCCTACAAGACGTAATTCTTTTAATGAATCACTCGTGAAAGGAATTACTTTTGGCGGCAAAGCGCTTTGGAAAAAAAAAAAAATAATAACAAATGTATTTTTTCGTGAAGCTCGACAGGTGTTTCCGTGTCATAAGTTACAATATCATAGTATAATATTTGTAATTAGTACCTTGCCAATGGTTTAACTTGTGCGGCTATTTTTGGACCGAGTATAATATTTCCAATAACTGAAGGCCCGGCCGGGATCGTTCGAAATCAAATTGCTCGCATACTATTTTGATTTTGATTTTTTAAATGTTAATCTCTTACTACATCAGCTGGCGTGTGTCATAGAAATTGAGATATACAATATACATTTGTATTAGGTTTCTGACAGGTGTTGGTGTCCAGAGTCCATTTGCTACTACGCGATACTAACAGACTATGAACCATCGGTTGTCGTTATGAATTATGATTACACCGTGCAGCTATTAATCATTCGCCGGCACATGCTTGAATGAAATGCACCGACACGGTCACACGGGAGCTTAGTGTACAACAAACGTGGTCTATCCGAGTGGGCTTAAGTATTTTCTAAAAAAAAAAAAAAAAAAAACAACCGCAAATGCTACGCCAGAGGTGGGCAAGTTATGTCCACTTGTGGCTACAATATGTACTTGTTTCATTTCAGTAACTCACAAACGGTTACCATAGCCTATACCTTATATTATAATATTTAACTTGTAACTGAAAATGACACTTGGTTTAATATTTTTTAGGTAACAAGTTACGCAAATATTATAAGTAACTTGTACTCTGTAATCGGCTACAGTAACCCGAGTAACTTTCTCAACATTGAATAGAATACTGTAAATAATATCGAATTACTGTCCAATACATAAAATAATAAAATAAAGTTCCTGAAAAATAAATATACTTAAACGGTGCAAGTGGCAACAAAAGTAATATAAAAATTAAATAATAGGTAATGACTTTTGTAGTGTTTGAAGTAATAAAGAAACCAGCTGTGACTTGTAAGACCCGTACTTCATACTATTATAATAAATAAATACCGTCAGATGTTGGTGGGATTTACTCGATAAGATTTATCTGATATTTAATCATCGGTCATTGATTTTGTTTGTGTGTGCTTGTGTAGGCGAACATCAAAGCTATAGCTATTACATAATATGTAAATGTTTTCAATAGCTTTTTTTAAAACGAAAAGAGTAATCAATTATTAACAACATTTTGAGTTTTCTTATTAATATTTGTTTTATTCAAAATATGTAAAAAACATTCAATACATAAATAAACAATAATATGGCTTCAACACGAAATAATAATATTATTAATACAAAACAAAATACCATCGTCTTACTAAACTGTAATATACATGAGAAAATCGCCAGTCATCTTAAAGTTCTACAACAATTAATATTTTGGTAAAAAAAAAAACTAGGTAACTCTATAGGTAGTCGCTAGCTCTGTAGGGTTTATAACTGATACAGAAATGTTCATTTTGTTTACACATTTTCCCACTAAATATAATTTATGTATTAAAATATGAAGGAATAAAAAATGGGTAAATGGGGTCATAGACATTTTTTGTTTTTATAAATTAATTGTAAAAATGAGGACAATGGATATAAGCTGTCATGAGAAATGCGAAGGGTTAATTTCCCAAGACTAATGACTCCTTGCACGGCAAACAGGAATGCCACCAAAAGCAGGGTTCTATACGGGAGTATGGTTTGGAAAACTTATGTGGGAATCCTACAGGACTTGCGGTGTTATTAGGGATAATTGACATACACTTCTGTGAGACGTTAGTGAGATTACCTGATTCCATTACAATGGGTATTGTCATCAACTGGCGACGGCATTATGATTGGCTTTGATCGGTGGGATTGGTGCGGTTGAACTAATCGTACCGGACAACTTTTGAGTGTGGCATTTCTTCAGGTGAGTCCTCATGTTGCTGCTCTGGCTGAACGTCAGCTCGCACTTGTCGCATTTGTAGGGTTTGACGCCCGTGTGGCAGTTCATGTGTGTCTTTAGGTGGTGTTTTTTAGTGAAAGACTTGCCGCACATGGCACAAGCGTACGGCTTGACGCCAGAATGCAAGCGCATGTGTAGCGTCATGTTGGATCTGTCGGCGAAAGGTTTGTGGCAAACGGCGCAGGCAAAAGGTTTCTCGCCCGTGTGGATCCGCAAATGCTGTTTGAGCAGCATCTTCCTGGTGAAAGACTTGCTGCAGTGGTGACAAGAATGGGGCTTTTCTCCGGTGTGAATCCGCACGTGCATGTTGTACGCCACCCGTTGGTTGAAGCTCTTGTTGCAGTACTGACATTCGTATTCCTTGCGGTTCCGGTGGATCTTCATGTGCGAGCTGAGGTAGCCGCGGTCGTTGAACAGCTTACCGCATTCGGGACAGCTGCCCGAAAATTCTCTGGTACCTTCGTGCACGGACTTGTGGTACTTGTAGTTTCTCAGCTGGCTGAACTGCTTCCCGCAAGATTCGCACACGAACGGCTTCTCGCCGGTGTGTGTCCTCTGGTGAATCTGTGCAAACCATAACGGACGAGTTTTAGACATTGTCGCAGACCTTTGTCCTGTGCAACTACTATTGACCCACGTGAGTGGATTGGGTCGGTGGCTAAGACGCAAGCGAACATCGAGTAGGATACTTGAGTTTCCATACTACGATGACAGGTTAAAAGACTAAGCATTGCCATTGAAATTTACTACCACACATCTATTGCAAAATCAAGCGAGGAATCTGTTGTCTCAATGTTTTCACTAAATAATTTCTGAGTTCTTATAATAAATAAAACGAATATATTAGAAGCATAACTATTTAAACTCGTTTGCTTGCGTTTATGAAAATATTTATAGCTTTTTAAAGCATACGAATCCAGAGTCCAATTATCATTGATTGTATATAATAGTTATACTCCTCAACCGATAGTTTCAGGAAATCGTGATTGTCTATCACATTCGTAGTACCTACGAAATAATGATTTTTTTTCTTTCTTTTTTTTGGTGCCTTATAATGATTATTAAAACGGAAAATTATGCGGTGAAGACTGTAAACGCGGTATTATCGAAATTGCTGTGTGTAATATTAATGATTATTATTATTAAGGAAGTACAGTATATTATGTAAATGATGTACTTGCTATAGTATAATTGCATAAATTATGAAAACAGGAGGCGCTATAGGTCGTGAGGTCGGGTTCGAAACGGTACTCACATACTGTTAAGTTTGATTTCTTTTAGGATTTATCAACGGTGATTTTACCTTTAGCGACGCTTTCGTAACAAACGATTTCTGACATTCTTGGCACACGTGATTTTTCGTTGGGTTTGGATCTTTGGCTGATATCCCGTTGTTGTTCGCATCGCTGGCAAGGGAAAGATTTTGGACTCCTCCGTCTCGATCGCTGTCTGGTGACCGTGTCGATGGTACCGAAACGGTAGGTGGTCTGTCTGCCGGTTGTGGACGTGGGGACCGTGGTGGAAGTAAGGTTTCCTTTTGAAATTCTGGTGGCTAAAATAAAAAATTAAAAAATCTAGTTAGTAGTTATTAAGTACGATGGGCCATATTCGAGTTTTAAATTGTTAAAACAAAATAGATACAATATGAATCATGCTAGATTCAAACACGCAATAATCGCGCAGTGGAAACACGTGGGCACCGCAGAACAGGCACGACGCTATTGATCGATTGTTAATGTTATTATTACAACCTCTTTGGCGAATTTACATACCACACCATATTGTATCTGGATTATGATTAACGAGGCGGTCGGTAACATGTCAATTACTATGTGATGTCGTCGAGCCGCGTCCGGGGAACGTGCGAAACGACTCGGACCGAAAAATAATTAAATCCGTCCAACACTTCAACCGGTACACGTGTATTGAACACCGAATCACGGTCGCCGAGAAAGTCGGCGGACTGTTGCACTATTTTTTTGTGATATTTTAGTCTGTCGATTGTTATCAAACTCTAGTAAACTGCTCTAACGCCGTGTGCATAGTGATTATTATGAACCGCGCGTAATAGCATTATTATTAAAAGAAATCGGGTTCACGCCTACCATGTCAAACGGTCGAACCTCTTCTCGGACCTCGGATACCTACTATGCCTACGCGTGCATGTTTTCATGCGTATTACGGGATTTATCATAATATATTACTATTATTATTATTGTGATAGCAATTATATTATAAACGGAATCCCGTGAAAGTATCATTGTGATTTTGCCTATCAAACGGTTGGGTATATCCCGTATCGCCCGCGGTGTTCAGTAACCGGTCACGATCGCGGCCTGTGCCAATGTTCGGTACACACAATAATGTAAATTATGTACATGTACGGTTAACCCGCGGCCCGATGGGAACTCACGGTGTGTGTGCATCGAGAGAGAAAGGCTAGACGATTTTTTTCATATATTTTATTTGTTAATCAAATTGCACCGCTTATTGATTTAGCTACTTCCGAGCTCGGCTAGAACGACCCGCGACAAAATGTTGAGCCATGCAACCAAATAATAATACGTCATTGATAATAGGATATACTTTATGGATCTGAAATCTGTTAACGTGATTTGTAAGGCCAAACGTTGAAAAAGTCCACTCCTTTTCGTTGAAAATCTAAAAACCAACTAAGAAATCGTCCGAATTTGTCCAGTTTAACTATGACAAATTATAACTTCCCCCCTCCCCCCTCCCATCTGATAAAAAAAGACTGACCGAGTAAATTGATTTAAAATTAATAAAAAAAAAAATCATCGACTATAATAGATCAAATCTCTTACTGATTAAAGTCTTCTACATACGATTTTTATAGGAACATTTGGGAAAAATTTACTCTAAATAGACATTTTCATGATGTATTTTTTTTTAGGAAAAAAGTATTGAAAGGTTACAAAAATTACTATATAAATAAACGTTTGTTTCTACTTCTTAAATAAATTGAAATAATTTCATAACAAAACGGACTATTAATAATATAATATTCTATTGAACATAATTCATATTTTTGTTTTAATATTTAGATTTTTTTTTTCCAAAAATATTTTTTTTATAAATTATTTCATTTTTTCATTTTTTCTTGATCCGAGCATTAATCAACTCAATAATATATTTAAACGCGGTTTCATCGAAAAATTGTATTACGTTTAATATAACTTGACACAATAGTTTAAATATTTTCAAATCATAGCTTGCTAGAAAATCAAATATTAACAACAAAAATGTTTCAATAATATATTATTTCTTATGTTTTATAGCTTTAATAAAATATGTGTATATTATGATTTTTTAACAGCTTCAAAATACAGAATTAAAAAAAATGTAATTTTCTTGAATTTTTTTCTAATTTGACTCTAATATTGAAACCTAGTCCAACCTAACTTTATCGCGTTAGTTTATTGGTACTGTGCTGGTTTATACAAAAATATATAATATTTAGATCCAGCTTTAAATGAATTTTCGGTTCTTAGGTTTAACAATTTTTGTTTTTATAGAAATCTTCTTAAAAGCTAAAATCACATTTTCTAAAAACAACACTACAATTTTTATTTTTTATTTTTCCCCAAAAAAGAAACAAGTTAAGACTTTGTTTAAATAATGGAACGGTTATACTTTTTTTTAATTAAAAAAAAAATATATATAAAATTAACATTTTAAACGTGTCAACCCCGAATTCATTTTCTCCGTGCCACAAAGTAATTTATTCGTAACGCGGCCTTTAGCTATTCATCCGCCTGTCTTAAGTCGTAAGTCGTTGACCGGGATTGCCAATCGATTATAACCGAGGGTGTCAACGGATAGACAGATTAGTCGGCTATAACCTCGGAGAGGAGGATTGCAAGACACGTGTAAGGTTCGGAATGAGAAACTGAGGATTTATGTAAATAAAAGGGCAAATGACATCTTCCCTGGAGACGAACAACGAACGCCGACTACCCGAATCCGACGACTTGTTGTCTTCAATGATAAATCACAATAGCTTAACCAAAGTTCGGTTGGAGTACGTTTTGCATTTGAAACTATCTGTCGCTTTTACTTGGCGCGGAATTAATTTAATTGACGAATTGATATGAATCGAATCATCGAATGAAATTGTTCGGGCTTTCCAAAAATGTCTTGGGCCAGAATTTGCTGAAGCAATAATGTTTTGGATTCATTTTCAATGCTGTCAGTGATTCTCGGGGTCAGAACGTTACAACTGTTAAACGCGTTTACTTTGCACGGGAGGTAAGTGGATGGATTGAAATTCAAAAGCCGTATGGACAAACGAAAAAATTCTCAATCGTATTACGTCCCACGAACGTCTATTGTATGAATTTAACAATTTTTTTACAAGCACTGTAATGATGTGCTTTAAGTCAATTACCTTGGGCACAGTAGGAGGTGGTATTGACAGCAGGTCCGGCGGTCGGTGGATGTATTTTGGTGCAGCGCACGGTGGACGGCTGTTCTGCACCCAAGGCGAAGGCGTCAGAATGCCTGTGGTTCTGGGTCGCTTGGAAGGCCGGAACAATTTCGGTTGGTGGTGGTTTTGTGGACTAGAGATGTCGTTTCGATCACACTGCTCGCATTGGACGTACGAAGAAGGGTGTTGCTGTGGTTCCACGGTGATGGGGACCGAGGATCCTTGTCGTCGGGGATCGAGTAGCGGACCGATTCCTAGTGCGCTAGCTGCGGCCACGAAGCCGTCCATCAGGTGCTCGGGGACTACGGCGGTGCCGGTGTAGACAAACTGTAGTAAGTGTTTGACGTCTTGGTGGAATATGTCTTGAAGTATCAACGTCACCTCGTCCGACGCGGAATGGTTCAGGAATATCGACTGAAACATGAGTCAGAGTTTAAAAATTCAACGTAGTCAACAGCTGATTGCAATTATTGAATCCACTGACGTGGAAAAGCGGCAAAGCGTTGGACGAAATCGAAAGAGATGCTTATTATACTAATTCAAATTTTGGCTCTAGCTTCAAAGAGAAAATAACTTAACGGTAGAATGGATGTGCCATGAGAGCGCCTAGGAAAATGTAGCAGAGATAGACTGAAACAATATGATTGGATGCACGTATTGTGCGCGAACAGTTCAAGTGCGTAGGATTTGGGTAACCGAGTACACTAGGGTGGACAATCGCAAAAAGTTAAGAGTAGCAGTGTCGAAATATCAGCAGATAAGGTCCCACAGTATCTAACCCGCATAGACCTTTTACTTTAGTATGGAAGCCAACTCACGATAAAGAGCTTAGTCATGTCACCTTAAATCAATTTGCTCTGCGTTTTGTTTGCATCATGTGACACTCTAATAGCATCATAAATCCTAATGTCATCTTTAAGAAATTCTAATGCAGGCCCAAAAATCGCCCTACAGGTTTCTTGTCCCTGGAGTCCTCGAGAGGAGCTATTGGACTCCTCGTTGTCTTGTGGAAAAAGACTTTATGTATAATTCCTAAGAGCAAAGTGGAGAATCCTAATTTAAAATAACAGGTACCCTAGCTGGCCACGCAGCCAATGCACTTTTTATACCACACGAGTTGTCTATTTGAGACTTGTCTAACAGTAATCATCATATGTTTTAGTTAAACGTTTCAACTCTCAAATACTTTTCCGTGCGGTACAAATGCAACTATAATAGTTCACAGAAAGCCATGGTCTTCAGTTAATTAATTTACGAACCCTATAATTATCAAAAACAAAAAACTCAAGGATAATAATAATTTAAAAAATGTGTTATTGCCATTAACCTGTTATTAACCTAACCGCTTTTGGTTAATAACCCACTAATAAAATGTACAAAAAATATCCGTGTAACACTGTATTATTAGAAGTAAATGGTTTTATTATAAAATATATACTTAAATTGTTTTAATTTTTATAATTAATAGCGACAGGTAAGCGACGGGTCCTATCGTATTCTAGATTTATTTTTATAAAGCTAGTAAACTCTGTTAAAATTTTTTAAACGAATATGAAACCCAAGGTTCAATTATCTCTAATGAATATATTGCGATTTTAGAACGAATAATAATATAGCTGTTATAGTGTAGTATAATTTTTTAGTGGTATGACCTGTGGAATGATATCAACAAGTTGCGTCGTGCACATTTTTACACGTGTTGTGGCATCCTAGAGAAATTTTGTTTTTCTTCTACACGAGTCTCATGATCAAACCTAAGACAAGAGCTAATTTTTATTTTAAACGCATTACGAATACCGAACTTGTTTGGCTATACTCAGGCCAATAACTATCGGCGTAGGTAATGTAGAAACACATTTAATACCGACGGTATTAACATAATGTTTTACTGACGTTTTGATTAGCGCCTAATTATTCATTAACAGTTGGAACCGTTTTAATTAGACACGGCCCAATGGTGAATCCGGTTTAAGTGGAGGCACTTGTTTTGTTCGAACCGATAAAAATGTATAGGATGTGATTTCACCTAGTGTAATATATATAATATTATAGTTTCGCAGTTATTACAAAAATAATATCAGAATAGTACAGCTGTTGATACAGTATTATTAATATTATCATAATTAAAATGGATGACTCGCGAGAATTATTATGGGCCCGCATAGTAATAGGATTACATGGTGTATTTTTTTACTATACACATTAATATGGAGATGTCGGACTTGTTAATTTCACATTTTTTTAAGCCGTCAATCGTGTATTTTTTTTTATAGTTCTTGTTCTAAAATGATTTTAATTAGCGGTTTAATATAAAATTGTGTCTGTGTCAGCTGTCATGATGGAGCGGCCAAAAATAGAAGTTTTTTTACGGTGTGAGATTTTTTTTTTAAGTACTCATAGAGTTGTGAAAAACATTTAATATATCAATTACGGTTGCAAACGGCAAACACAAACCGGGCAAAACTAGACAAGCGACTATTTTTTGCGCGACAAAAGAGAAAATCTCCAAGTCGCAGTCGTTGTCGGTCGTCAGCAGATAAAACTCACAACAGTGAAAATGCCTTACTTGTAAATAAGAACTGCAATAGGACAACACGATTTTGTGCGCTCTCAGTTTGTATCCGTCCGCACAACTTATGATAACGTCGGCAAAATGTTCTGACCTCATCATCTGATTGAGATTGGACATCAGTCGGTTCTTATGTTGTTCGTATATAGCGTCGGCCATCTAAAAAAAAAAAATCACAATTTATTTATAAATATTTGAAAATACAACATGCCAATGTCTTATGTTGGTTCGTTGAAATTTTAAAAAAATAGTTGTTTTTTACTGAAAAGAAAATCCACTTGTGCAGTAGCTTCTTGGTCTGCAAAGTTGTTAATAAAACTAGCCCAATTTTTTGAAGTTCTTTGACGAAGACCTATGAAAATCCACAATGATTTTTTACCACAGCACCGTTTTTTTTATAGGTATACGCAGGCTTAGATTAAACCGTACACCAAGAACAATTAAAAATTAGTTTAGTACAAAAGTTACAACAATTTCATCCCTTCTCGTTTTAAAAACTAACATTGCTTTTATCCTTCTATTTTATCTTTTTTTTTTTTTTTGTTATTGAGACAAACAAAATGCAATAAATAAGGATATGAAAACTACTCGACAGAAGAACGTCAAAAGTGTAACCGAGTTATGACCATTTATTTTGCTACTTATAATCAATATAAAACGCAATGTACCGATTTGACGTGTTGAGCTGAACACGCAAAATATTGTACTTGTTTGGAATAATAAATTATAAGCCATTCGCATGCATGTAATTTTTCAAATACACAGATGCATTTTTAAACGCTTGAATAATTTTCATTTGTCAGTTTTAAACCATTTAAAAACAAATTGATCGACCACATCTCAGAAGAGTAAATGCACGCGATGGAGACAATTATTGTTCACAAAAATAAATTTAAAGCCATTACTAATTCAGTGTAATATAGATATACTCGTATTTATTAAAACTGTTATTGACTGTTATTACTTATTGACATTTTCATGTCTTAGCTCTGGCACATAACCGAAAAAAGTTTTACCAAAAAAGCGTTACAAAAAACAATATGGGGTAGGAGATAGGGGGTGGGAGATAGGGATGAGGGATAGAGGTGAGAGATAGGGATAAGATATAGGGGGTGGGAGATAGGGGTAGAAAATATGTTGTATTCACAACGATCAAATTATAACTGAAAAATAAATTCAATGTATTTTAAGAGGTCATATTTCCTATGAATTGTATAAGGCCAGATTATATGAAATCACTAAAATATGAGCCAGAAACTTGATATGTTTACTAGCCACCTTAGATACTAGCTTGTTAATATACTATTTCATTATCTATAATTCCACCACTACTCTAAATTTATTCGGTACTTCAACGAGACACGAAAATGCTCTTTTGTGGTTGCAAACTCGGCTGAAAAACTTTTATTATGCAATATGTACGGGCTACCTTAACTAGAAAGTGATTAGGCAAAAATGTATTTTAGAGTTACGGATGGTCCATCTTAAATAGGATACAAAATATACAACTATGATCCGTTTGAATCTTGCCAAGCTATTGATTAATTTTTACCAGATTTTATTATTATTACTATTATAACATGTGATGTTCATAATAAAAGTTATAAATAAAGTCATCAAAAATAACCACCTTTTTGTAAATTAAGGTGTATGAAAAACAATACAAGTATTCATTCAGTGTTTTTTTTTTAAACATTTTTTTTGCATTTATTGGAGTTGCTTCTCTTTTTTCAAATGAAAGATATGACTAAGTGTGACTAAATTAGCCGAAAATATGTGTATTTTAAAAATTTGGAGTTACATCACTTTTACACTAAACGACCCATGTGTAAATCGACTAAATGCGATATTATAATAGACATTATTGTAGTAATTGTTGTGTAGCGCTTTCTGTTTACGGTTTAATAATATACAGAAGTAAATGTCGTGTAGGTCAATCTACTTGCACGCAAAGACAAGTTGTACCGAAAACCGGTCGGATAGTTTATTACTATTATTATTATAAATATTAGATATTAGGTATCGTTTTGAAACTCGATTGTTGCTTCCTTCAATCTACAATGTGCGATGCACGGAACGGGGAAATTCGCCGGATGTGTCGCGTGTTTAGGATTTATTTCGTTTTCAATTTTAAAAACTTTCTAACAAGAAAAAAATATGTACCTAACATAGACCTATAAAGATATGGACTGCGCCTCCCACACACCCCGCCTATACTGCCGCGTTATGAACAACGTTAGAAAGAGATAGATAGAGTTGTTAGGTGGTCCATGGAATAAAAATTGAAAAGACACGGAATAATAATAATTTATATATACAAAACCAAATGATAATATATAATAATTAAATCATATTTAATTATTATTTATTATTGTGTTATGCGAAGTTGTAAAGCATTTAAGGATATGTATTTCATTATTTTGTCGGGTATCCAATACTTTCGTATGATGTATTGTTTTAAACAGATATGTATAGTATATCGTTAATAAATACTTAAAAACCATTACAATTTCATTCAAATTTTATCAATGAACATTCTGTTTTACTTTTTATAGAACGTGTAAGTATGTTTTGAAAAACAGTTTTTCTTTACAAACTCAATAGACAATTTATTGTACCACAGATCTGCATCTAAGTTTAAACAAATTCACTAGGTATTGTTAAATCACTACTTATTTGTTTCTTTTTCGAGTTACGACCAATATATATATTAAAATATAAAAAAAATCACAAAGTTTAATAATTATACAAAAAAAAAAAAATAAATAATATTAGGTAATAATCATAATAAAAAAATATAAAAAAAGGAATTATACATTTTACTGATTTTTGAAATGAATGGTTTTTGTTACCTAATTTGATTTTTCGGCTGATCTTCATTGAACGTATAATAATTAAATGATAATTAAAATTCAATATTTTAATAACTATAATAAGATTAATTAAAACATTTTAATATAAAAATTTCGTTATCGGGTATTATCATATTACTATTTCTCCATGATAATATTATTTCTTCCATGACGAACCTAACAACTCTCTCTCTCTATTTTTAACGATGTCGATGTACGGACCTCTCTCTCTACTATCAGTTCATTTTTATTTTTTTATGGCTGCTCTTTGGTTGCCTTTTAAATTAAAAATATTTGTAAAACATAATAAACAAATGAAAATAACAACTGTTTTGTGTAATATAGTTTGAAAAAAATCAATTATAAACATTAAACATAAAATATTCCAGTATTGTCTATAAACAATAACTGACAAAATATTTTTGAATAATACTATCACATTACACGCTTTGGCAGGAAATAACCGCATTGAAAACGTTTCAATAATATTTTATGAACGCTATGAATGAAATCGTTTTTCGAAAAGGTCAGACAAGTATTATGACAAAAAAAAATTTCACAAAACGAGAAGAATTACTACAATTTTTATATTTTGCGTGCGTTCGGAGAACCTAAAAAATTGTTCAAAGAAGTTTTATTTCTTCGCATAATGTTCGATTATTGTTATTTTTTTACTGCTCAAAACTTTCATCCTATTGTAAATAAGTTTTTATCGTTCTTGTTATTTAATTATTTTTATATAACCCCAAGCGTTTTTACTTGATCTTTTTACACAGAAAACTTTAACGTTTTCTCTTAAATTGAATTCTCTCAAATTCCGCATTTGAATTCTATATTTTTGTCGTCAAAATGACCTCGTTAAATGATTTACACTGCTCTGTTATATTATATGTATTGTGTTGATTCCCTGGCCACAGGCAACATTTGTTTTATTCATCCAGTTGTTGTGTTGTCTCCACCACTTCACAAGTCCACTTAACTCACCATAATATTATTCCAGTTTTTATACTTTCAATAAAATAACATTACATTATACACACATTATGTAAGAAAAGTTAAGTATTTTACATTATATTTGTATTTTTTATGTTAACGGTTTATGGTATTATACAAAACGACTTATATGTTGACAGACTCGAGTGATAAGAATATTTTTCAAATAAGTAGAAAACGCAGAAAGTAGTTGTAATTAATTGACTGTGCGAGTTGTGGAAATATTTTCATGCCAATACGACTCGTACAATAATATGTAAAGAGATTATATTATTATGTCGGCATTTATCCGGTTTCATACGAGAAAACAGCTTGCTTTAATTAAGAATAAATAACTATAAGACGATAAAACATAAATAATATTGATGGTGTTAATTAGAAAAAAAAGTTTTATTCCATTTTCTACCTTTCCAAACCTGGGCATTTTTCATTTAACACAACATTTTTGTTGAAAAAAATGAGTTGTTTGAAGTACATTTTTTATTTACCGTATAAAATAAAAACTGGCAATTGAAATTGTTTATTATAATATGTTTTTTTTTTTTTTTACTGTTTCGTATAACCTGTTAGTCTTAGTTGTACATACTTTTATTTTAATAATTCCTATTTTTGTTAAATTTTTAATTATTTGAATTTTTATTTAAATTAAAATAAACTCTACCCTATGCGTTTTTAATGTTTAAAAAATGTTGATAAACTGTTTATGAAAAGTTTAATTGTATTTTGAAAATACTGTCCAGTGCCAGTTAACGACAGTGTCATATGTTTTTCTAAGACACTTAATATTGTACAATTTTTTTAAAATTAATTTATGAAGTAAGGTTATTTTTAAAGAACTCAAAATGAATGATGTTTACTACTTGCAAGTCAGGATTAGTATATCAATGTTTATAGACAAATAATTATATTTTATACAATACGGTGGAAAACAACACTCTTGCAAATATACTTGAGTATAGAAAACGATTTGATTTTTATGTATTTATTTTGAATTTATAGTTGCTAATTATTAACAAAACTACTCGCCATTCGTTTTATATGTATCTACATATACAACTCATATTATTCGAATACTGTCAAGAAAAAAATTTACTTTATACGAAACACGGAAGGCAATCGAATAGAAAATTGTATAAATATATGCGTGTGATCCGATTTACAAAAGTATAAGGTGAGAATAATTATTGTCGGCGACATTTTCGAAAGTAACGTACTTAATGTTTCCAATAAGTAATTCAGTCGTGAGTATAGTATAATATGGCATACGTGATATGCATATAACCGGCCTACATTGATACGACTTGATTGATTTCT